AGAGTGGGTGAGATTCCTCCTCATCCTTCCAGGCAGTGATAAAATATTAGAAGCCTTCCTGAGCTGGTGCTCAGGAGGTGAGGAGGATCTTGATGAAGATGCTGGTTGTTGCACTGTGAGGATTTGGTGCTCAGAAGAATTGGTCTGGGTCACAGTAGGTGCTCTACAAAAGGGCTGCAGGGCTTCTTGGCCCATCCCTCTGAGCTGTTTTGGTGGCTTTTTTTTTTTTTTTTTGGCACAGGATGCCAATAGCTGAGGAATGAGGAAGAGAAAGGAACTCATCAAAATGACAGCTGGGGACAAACTGGGAAAATAAGAAATCCTTCTGATGTAAATACTGCTCGTCCCATTTGCACCCCATCAGGTCTGTACCCCATTTTTATGTGGCTACAATAAGCCTTGTGCTCAAGAGGTTTGACTTCAGCCTTGCATTTCCCTCCTATGCTGAGAAGGGAAAGGATCTGTGTCCTTTCTGACCTGCTTTGTGTCTGAACTCACTCTGAAGCAGAGAGCAGGTGATGTGTTTGAGAGCCCAGAAGTGCTTCAGTCAGCTGAAGCTGCCTTAGCCCTCTCTTCCGGAGAGGGGGAGTATTTGTTGTCCCAGGGTCCCAGCAGCAGAAGCGTGTGTTTCAGCATCCTACACTCCAGTGGGTATTGTGGGTGTAGGAACAAACACACTTGCTTTATTTTCACAAAGCCCTGCGTTTTTGGCCCTGACCAAAGGCTGCTTTGGCCTCGTTTCCCTGTGGCACAGAGCAGGGCACCACTTGAGGCGTATGAAATCTGCTTTCTCCCTGGGGCCGGGGCACTGAGCTGTCCCTGTGCTCGCTGCTGAGGGGACACTGGCAGCTCACCCCCTCGGGGGGCTGTGCCTGGGGCTGCCTGCGGACCTGGGGGTGCTGGGGGGCACGGGAAGCAGGGGTGCTTCCCAGCAGAGGGCCCTCGAGCAGCACTGCCAGCTCCTGGCCAGCGCATCCCTGGCCCCAGCAGCTCGGGGGCTCCTGGCAGAGAGGGATGCACAAGTATGGCAGTTCCGTGTGCTCTTGGAGGAGCTGCTCTTGCTGGGAAGGTAAGGGGTGTTTTTTTAAAGAATGCAGTCCTGGAAGTCGGTAGGAGACTGGCAAGGCTTGCTCACAGGGCTGCAAAGCCCAAACCTGTGTTGCTTCCCAGAGGAGTGGAACACAACTTGTGTTTCCTAGCCCTTGAGGTGAACATGCCATGCTTTCAGTAGCTAGCAGAAGTATTGTAAGGTACCAGAAGTACAATGAAATCACCTTGAACCCCATGGTTCCCAATAGCCCCAGCTGATGAAATCACCTTGAACCCCATGGTTCCATGAAGGAACTGCTGTGACCTGAGTGGCTCCAAGTGCTCCAGGATGGCTCATTGCTCTCAAGCAGACACGGTGCATTATTCATGAGAGGCACATCAAGCACTTCACAAAAACCCCCATAACCCTCCGGTGTTCTGCTCTGTCTTACTGCAGCTTAATGTTTTTCAGCACCTCCTGTTTCTACCTCTTCCAAATGAGTGAGCCAGGGCAGGGAAGTCGGTGGGAATTTGGCAGTTTTTCTTCCAAGGGCCCTGCAGTGGTTTCCCAGGGAATGGGCAGGCAGGGCTGAGCAGATATTCTTACAGAGCCAGCGCCCCCACTGCATGTTGTTTTCACTGCTGAGGCAGCACTGTTAGAAAAGTTTCCAAAAAGAATGGGTTTGCTCACCTTGGACCTTTACTAATCAGCTATCAGGCAGTGCTTGCTGAGATGCCATGTTCTGTCTAGATTTTTTGGCAAGTGGATGGAAAGGACAGACAAGTCCTGATCCTTGGTGACTTGAATACAAATATGAGAGCTAAGGAGTTGCTTTTTGTGGTTCCCTTGGAAATCAGCGCTATTGTACTAATTCAGCTGTAATACTAAGGAATGCAGTGCAGGAATTTGTTGAGTTCAGCAGCTGAAATGCTGCAGAACCCGTGTCTATGTAAAAGAGACCAGAAAACCCCTGAAACCTCAAGGTCACAAGGATAGCTGTGATCAAGGATCGAGTCCTGAAAAGGTGAGTGAGGGATTTTGTTGGTGTACAAAGGATCTGCTGCGTGCACAGGTGTGTTCAGGGTGAGCCGCTTTTGTCACGATGACTTGGCACTGACGTTTGTCAGCCAAGGAAAAGATACTGAAAGCCTCTGTGATAAGTATGCTGCGGTCTCTCTGCACCTAGATCCTTCCATGGCAATCTTTATCCTCTGAAACTTCCTGACTTAGGTTGAATTACTTGTGACTTAATCCAACGCAAATATTTTATCACTGGGTAGTGTGCACAAACCCCTGCAAGTGCAGGAGCTGCCAGTTTCCATCTCATTCAGCATCGCCTCTGACTGACAATGCTGTGGTCAGCATGAGCGCCTTCCGAGGAATCTACCAGAAATGCTGCAAGATATATTTATGGAATAACCTGCCCACAGGGAAAGTTTTACCCCAGCAGTTCCACCGAGCGTGTGCGTGTGTGTGTTCTCTAATCTTTACCATCAGAACTTTGCCTGTTCTCGTTATCCATACACATGTCAGACGGTGTCAATGACACTGATACCTTGCACGACCTCGCTGGAAAAGGAGCTCCTGAGTTAGCTGAGGGAGGAAAACGTGTGTGTGCTGGATGAGAAGGCAGGCCAGTGGTTCCTGTAGGCATTTGGGTGAAGGTGGTGTCTGTCCCGTGCCCTGCTGAGGCATCGCCTCGGCCGGGCTGTCGGCGAAGGCCGTCGGCAGAGCTTTTCCTCACCAGGGCTTTGTGAGCGGGACTGAAGCCAGCGGGCTCCAAAGGCAGGTTCAAACAGTCAGCCAAAGCCTTCCCAAATCCAGCTGCTTCTCTGTGGCCTGTGCAGGGAGGGCAAAGCTCGCGGGCTGTTGTGCTGAGCGACGAGCTCCTCTCCAGTCATTAAACCAAGCAGAGAACCCTGGAAACGGCTGGGGAGGCTTGGCGAGGGAAGGTGCGAGCCGAGGGGTGTCGGCAGTGCCAGAAGGCACACAGACACGTGTGATGGACAAGGCTGCTCCAGCCAGAGGGTTTCCCTTTGTCAGTCACGGTGACAGCGTCGTTAGTGCGCTTTACTGGGTGTTTCTCTGCACAGAGAGCGTACTCGTTTTTAAACTTGGTCGAGACCACTGCCCTGGCTCTTGATTGAAGGACTTGAAATGGCTCTGGTGGCGTTTTAGATGATTAAATGCAGCAATGTGATATTTAAAGACTGACTTGGAATCATGCATCCTGATAAAGAACCATTTTTTTTTTAGCCAGGAAATTCAATGCACAGGTTTAAAATGACAGTGTCTGAAGTTACAGTGAATTGTCAGGAACTGGAATTAGTCCAGTTAATCAGGTTTGTTTCTGAAACAGTGAGCTAAGAGCCGGCTGCTGAGAAGTATCCATGAGGTGCCTTCATTGAGGGATCCCAATGCATGGGGGGATCCCAAAATCCCCATGAGTTATCTAAGTGGCAAAAAACAACAGCTATTTTCTCAAGTACCTAACGTGTCTTTTCTTCAGGAGCTCCCTAGTTTATTTAAAAACGAAGTGAAGTGAAACTGGCACATCATTAAGGATTTAAGGCACGGAGACTGCAGTTGTTGCTTTTGGAAGAGGGAAGACATACAGTTATTTGGGTTAGGACTTGAGCACACAAAGCTTCTCAACTGATGTGGTGCTCTGCTTTTGTTAACACAGGGACTGTCATTAATTGAAATGAAATACAGTTGTAAGTGATGGGAGGCACCACTGCGCCCATTGGAAACTCTTTAGCCATTGAAAAACAGGTTCTTAAAAACCTGGATTTATTAAAGGGAACAGAGGAGCCTGAGTCCTGACCCATTCATGTGCAGACTGTGGCTCTGAGATCTTCCAGGAAAACATGGAACAGCATGAGGGGACAGTGACTTAAACAGTGTCTGGGGATAGCACAGGGGTGGCAGCAGCAGAAAGGAGAGGAGGAATTTGGCAGGGAGATCCTTCTGCAGCGCTCTCGCCCTGCTCTGCAAGTGCTGTGGTTTCTGTTGCTGCTGCTTTTTCTGCCCAGCCAATGGATTGCATATTATTCCCTAGTACAGAGTTTGGATGGGTGACAAAGGTGGAGCTTGGTAGCTGAGGAGCAGCTGAAGGGGCAGTTGCTGTGTGGTAATCATAAACCCTGCTGAAGAAGGGGAGTTTTCCCCCTGTGGAGCTACAATAGCCTCCTTTGTTCCCCTGAGAGTCTGTGCACTTCCCATCACGGATTGCTGTTCTGCCACGTTCCTTGTGAGCCTTTTGCTGAGCTCCAGGGTTTAAAAATATGTTATGGATCTCATCAGCTTGGCCTGGACAGTCAAGCTGCGTGCAGGAGCTAGAGCTGACTGAACAAATGTGGGATATTGGCACTGCTTCTCTCGTCCAACAGCAGTCTGGAGGGAACCTATGGAAGGGCAATTAGTGTCCGTAGGAGAGAGAGGAGGAAGTAGGACTGGGCTGGCAAGCAAGGTGAGCCTTGCCATGCTCGAAGTTAAGGAGAGGCAACATGTAAGGTACTATTTCTGTGGAAAATTATAACGAACTGACTAAATTATGGTTTCTATATTTTCCCTGGGTCGGTTGTTGTTGTGTTTTTCATGTTTTTGAGGTTTCCGTTTGGTTGGATTCTGTTTGGTTGGGTTTTTTCCACTGCTATGTGCTTTTGGCCCAGAAGCGCCCCGAGCCGTGCGTTTCCAGCGGCAGGGAACCTGCCGTGGGAGAGCCACAGGCTGCCCGCGGCAGTATCCAGGGACAGCACCCCCCCTGCTCGGGGGGATGGCATCTCCCGGCCTGAGGCACCGGGTGGTCACTGCCAGGCCCACTCACAGCGGCGGGGGGGGGGTCCCGCGGCCGCCCTTCCATCGGCACCTGCCCCGGCGCGGCTCGGAGCTCGGGGCGGGGAAGCGCAGCCCCGGCCCTCAGACTCCTCCTCCGGGCTCCCCGCCCCGGGCCCCGTGACGCCGAGCGGCGGCCGGGGATGGGATGGGACGGGACGGGCCGGGATGGGAGCGGGTGAGGGGACGGCCGAGCCCGCCGGCGGCTTTAAATGCGGGCCCGGGCCGGCGCCGCCAGCACAGCCGCGCCTCTCGCTCGGGCTGCCGCGGGCGCTCACCCGCACGGACACGGACACAGACACGGGCGGGCAGGTGTAGGGCCCCCGCCATGCCCCACTGAGCCAGCCCGCAGCCCGTCCGCCGCCACGGCTGCCCCGCAGCCCCCGCCCGCCGCCAGGCTGGAGGAGCGCCGCAAGCCCGAGCCCCGGAGGTGAGTGAGCGGCAGCGGGGCTGCAGACACCGCGCCCCGGTTCTCCCTCCTCGCTGTCTGTTTCGGTGGCCAGCTCTGCTGGAGCCAACTTTGAAAACGCTTCATGGTGCTGGAAAACTTTTTTTTAGCGTTTCAGTTGATGTTCATTGAGTTGTTAGCAGCCGCTGAATAGGCAGCCTCGTCTTCCCCAGGGTTTCCAGTTATCCACCTGGTGTATGGTTGTATGGAGTGTTTTATTATCCAAGACCAGCTCTTCGCTGTTTGTTTGCCCTTTCTGTGCTTCCTGTGAAGCGCTGCCATCCATAGCGAGAGCACACGGGGAAACGAGGATTTAACCATCTTTAGGCTTGCTCCTTTTTTCTTTACCACGTTAAGTTACTAACGGATTTTTCTTCTGTTCGGAGCGCATCCCTTTAGCCCTCGCGTTCAGGAGGAGCCCTCGGATGTGCAGGGAGCTCCCCCGGCGTGATGGAAAAAGGCACCGGGCTCTGGCAGGAGAGCGGCTCGGGGTGCGTGGCGGCAGCGCCGCGGAGTCGTTCCGCAAAGCTGCTCCTGTTGGTAAAGCTGGGCGCGTAAGGAGCAAGGTCGGGCCCTGGGGCAGATCCAGCGGTAGCAGCTCCCTTGGAGAACTGCTGGTTGTACTATATATAGGTGCTTGCTCCTTTTGTGTCAGAGAGGTGAAGTTACTGTGCGTCTGGACTTGACTCTGTGCCTGTGCTCCCAGCTGCTTAGGGACTTTGTTCTGGTTGTTCCTATGATGTACATACTTTCTGTTTAAAAAAAAACAAAAACAACATAAAAAAACCAACCAACAAAAAAAAAAAAAAAAAAGCCACCCAAAAACAGAGCAAGAAAAGCTTCACTAGCTGGATTTAACAAAATGTGCCGAGTTGTATGTATTGTGTGTGGGACAGAATATGTTGCTAAGTGCTGGTGTGATAGGCTGCAGGAAAACACCTAGTTCTTACTCTGGTTGAGATCAGTAGGAAATTGTGCAGAGGCCCCCTGACCAAAGCAACCTTCAGGCTCCCAAACCCCAGCAACTATTGAATGAGAGACTTCATTTTGTTCTCACAATTTCCAGTCCTGTGCCAAGTAATTAAACGGGACTGTTTGCATCTGTGCTTGCTCAGAGCATTGTACATAAGCTGATCTGTCCTAGTCCTTTCCTGGACTGCCATTCCAGGCTCAAAGACTTTTTCTGGTGACTCCTGGATTAGATGATGGAAGAGTTAATTTTGCAAAGCCTGGTTTCAGCTGGTGATTTTAGCTCTCATCATCTTCACCTGCTGCTGAGGGTCAGTGGGATTGGAAGGGCAAATGCTAGTACAATCTGCTGGGATGCTTCTTCAGCTTCCTAGGAAGGAAACACAGACTTTGAAGTTCCAAAAACACTAGGAGGATTTGCTTGTAACTTACCCTTCATTTCTGCTGAGCGAAGGGTAAGTTAATTTCACTTTTTTAAAAGCGACTGCTGGACTTTAGGGACCTGCATTCCCAAGATTCAAGGGACTGGCAACTGTAGACTGCTGACCTCGGATGAGTGGGGAGCAAGGCGAGGTGGTGGGGTGAGAAGGAATTATAGGGTTTTTTTTTTCTTTTCTTTTTCCAGCTATGAGGAGGAGAGACGAAGCTTTCATTTGTGTGCACAGGGCATTCCTGGCAAGGTAACACCCTGCACTCATCCGGTCTGCTCCCAGCAAAGTCTGGCAGGGTTTTCCCCTTAAACTTCCATGTTACAATTTTATATCTTGAAACTTCTCTGCAGCCAGAAAACAGCCTCATGTTCTGGTGCTGTCTTGTGGTATCACTTGCAGCAGGTTTTTAAGAGGAGCTTTTAAAATGCAGTGGGTGTTGGGTAAATGCTTCGGTTACCGATGTCTTAAGCTGATAAGAAAAGGTTGAATTTATGCACGAAGTGCAGTTCAAAGAAAAACATCCCCGTGAGAAGGAAAAATCTATAACTCCTTTTGTTTTCAGATCTACCTGCTTATCAGAGAGGGTGGAGAAGCTGAGTGTGTCTCTGGCTGAAGGTTTTCTAATGCTGCCATCCTGGACAGCTGTAATTAATAAGCTGGAAGGGGTTTTGGGCAAGGTAGTGAAGGAAAATTGCTGCGTGAGAGGCTAAATCAAAAAACCTGTTCTTATTTTCCTGCCAGTAAGTGTGCGAACAGCTATTTGCAGTCAGAGGTGCTGCCTTGCCAGAAAGATGCAGTCATGAAGGGAAAGGTGTTGCCTTGAGAAAGGAAATACTGGGGGAAGTTGTGCTGTTTTGGGAGCTGGGTGCCCAAAAATGGGTGAGTTCAGCAAGTGATGCTCCTGTGTTCGTACGTGCCATCTGTTAGTGCGGATTGGCTAGCAAACCCATTTCTCTTCTTTAATCTAATTTTTCGGGTTTTATGCCGTGACATTGTTATACACGTCCGTATCAAAACAGCATGGCTTTTACTGGTCTGCACCCCAGCTCCTCCCCTGGCCTGGGAGAACCAGAGGGCTCGGAAGGAGGGTTGGAAGGTGCCTTGTTGCCAGCGGCGTTGCCGGCGCTGCGGCGCCGCTGGGTCCCTCGGTGCTGCTGAGATGCCTCCGTGGCCCCACTGCGAGAGAGAGCATCCTTGTCACGCTCCAGCAACCCGCCTCACACGTATCTGCTGTGTGCATTAGGCTTAGAATTTGGACTCTTGCTTTGAGCAAATTAAAAGGGTACTGATAACTCCTCGTTCCAAGTCAATTAGCCGCTTCCGGCTTCAAATCCACTTAGAAGGCTCGCAAGGAGGGGGAGCGCTCTTTGAAAACCCAGTAATAGCAGTTTATGGTTAATATTGATAAAGGAATGTGTGTCTGTGTCATTGTTCTGCATCTGGTGGAAGGAAAGCTCCTCTTTTGTGTTCCCTCAGAACATAAGGACTTGGATGGGGAGGCAGAGGTCTTTCTCTTGACTCACACTGTCTGGCTTGAAATGAAAATGCAGCTATAAAATGGTCAAGGTTGCAGTGAATTCCCACAACCACTCAAAGCAAGGCTTCTGCCTCCCTGCCCTTGAACTTTGAGTCGCTGTAGCATCTCGTTTCTCCTGAGTTTGCTCAGGATCGTGCGCAGTTTGTGACAGGAATGCTTTTTATTGCTGTTGGACAGTGTCAAAGACAATGGCTGCACCCATTATTGGGTGATAAAACAATGCGTAGCACAAGTAAAAAGCTGCAGAGCTCTCGCTTTTCAATGGCTTAATTACATTAACTGAAGAGATGAAAATGTCTTTGAATTACTGTCACACAATTATGAGTCTTTCACATAAGGAACATACTTGAACTTGCCATAGGGACTGGCAGCGCGGTGAAGGTGGTGGAGATTTATGAGAAATCTGAAAATCAGAGAAAGCAACACCTCAGTTCTTGGCATTCAGTTTGATTTGGAATGGTGGATTTCTGTCCAAATTCAGTAGGCATGTAAGTCCATGCTGTTGGAGTATGGCTGAGCCTTCTGAGCACGGTTTTATCTGGATTTTCTCACCAGAAAAACCAGAAGAGTTGATTCCATGTCACCAATATCAGAATTCTTTGAGTCTGCGGCACAAATGAGCTTTCAGCTTCTGCATTCCAGAAACGTGTGCTCTTATAAACGGCCCCGGTTTTATCTGAATTTTCTCAGCAGAAAAACCAGATTCCATGTCACCAATACCAGAATACTTTGAGTCTGCGGCACAAATGAGTTTTCATCTTCTGCATTCCAGAAACGTGTGCTCTTAGGAAAGTTCATTCTGCTGCCAGAGCAAAACAGAGACCGAGGGGTGGATTTAAAATAGATTTATTATTTATATATATAAATATGTATGGAGAGAGAGAATATGGCTGATCTCTGTGTTTTCTGCTCCTAAGGAAATTCTTTTAGTGGAGGAAGAGAGTTTTCCCAGTGTTTCAAATCCTAGCTGTATTATATCACTACCTTTATAGGGGAACAGGATCATATTTCTGTTTTGCTAGCATATAATAAATACTTGCTAAATACTCTGTATTAATTCTTGAAATAAGCTTTAATTTTCCTTTCATAAGTATTGATCCATACTTCTGGTATCCCAAAGTGAGCTGAAGAACTTGGTGGTGGGAATTGTTCCATGACTTCTTTTAAGACTGAGGGTTACTCAAATCACTTCATTCTGTTGTTAATGACGATTATAAAAGCTATTTCATTTTATTGAAGTTATAGTTATTAGCATATTATTATTGACAATAAACTTATATCTAATCTAGGAATAATACAGAGCTGTGGTACCTCTGCTTTTGACCTCTGCGAGGTGACTGCTGCTCATCTGTGAAGTTGCTGATATTTGATGTGATTGTTCCCCAGGGGAGATGGAATTTTACTTTATTTTGGAAGTTATTACAATGAGCTGGTATTATACAAGAAGTCCTGGTGGGTTTGCATGTCCAACAAATTTTTGCCTTGTTTCACACAGGAGTTATTCCTGTGGTGTGTTCTGTCTTTTTCTGCTATTTTTTCTGAGCGAAACATGCAAATGCTTTGATTTTGATGACTGTGCAGATGTGTAATCTGATGGCAAAGATGACAGCTGAAGTCTTGTGTGCCAGCTATTCAGCTTTACTAAAATTTTTCAGTTTTCTCTATTTTGTACACTAGGTGCAGAAACAGAAGTTGGGTCTCTTTTTCAATGGTATGTGCAACTTGAAGATTATGCTGTTTTCCTCTTAAGTTTTTTTAATAAGTTTTTACTTCATTTTAATCACATCTTAAAGGTTTACTGAGCTCATTTCAACTCTTAACCTTGAACAGAAGGTTGCAAAAGTTAATTGCTTTTATTGTACCGGTGGCTGTATAACACTTCAGACACACTGTCAGCCCTTCGACGTAAGCGTAAAGGTCTTCTCATCAAGGCTGCTAAATATGAGGTTGGTAAGAATGAAACTGGGAAATAGCTGCTCAGTAGCTCAATGAAAAGTGGCATTTGAGCACATCAAACCTGTCTGTCGCACTGGAATTGAAGTGTA